AACATTAATTTGTTGTCCCACAAAATTGCAGGACGTTCCAAAATTTTACTTCAAGCCACAGTAGCCGAAACTCTGGGCCGAAACATTCAATTACCTCAAATTTGGGTAATTAAACCGTCAAATCTAACTTCATCATTTTCATATCATTGTCGTGCATTCAATAATCATCGCTTCCCATGCGTGCAAAAACAATCCATACACTAATTAACCCATATCATTTACCTTTACCATTTCCAACCTTATCTTATTTTACATTATTTTAATACTTATCAGTTTATCTTCTTTTTTCCTTTATCAGTAAATCAATTTAATTAACTCACATCATTTACCTTTATCATTTCCAATCCTATCTTATTTTACATTATTTTAATACTTATCAGTTTATTTTCTTTTTTTCCTTTATCAGTAAAGTTAATAAAGTCAATTTAATTAACTTGTAACAGTAAATTATTGTCTTGAGCTGATTAAGTTTGAAAAGTTTTCGAGAAAACGAGAATTAAAGAGTGTAAAATGCCATCGAAACTGTTTGTTAGTTAACTATCAAATGAAAATGGTCAATTGTAAATACTGGACAAATAGCCTGATCATTACTGGTCATTGCAATTTTATTTTATACTGACAAAAAAAAAAATGTTACAACGATGAGAAATTACTGAAAGAAATATTCGATGAAACCTATTTTCATGGCTATCTTGATGAATGTAAATTGTTCAGATATGAATTTATCAATTGATTCCTAAGGTTTATGCATCTGAATTTGATTATTTGAAGTTCGAGAAATCTCTGAAATTCAAATTTTGAGTTCGAGAAATTCCTGTAATCCAATTTTTGAATTTTATGCAATGATAAGTGAGTGATTTTTAGTGATAAATGAATGATAAGTGATGTATGAAGATATACGAATTGACCAATATTAGTGACAAGGAATGGAAATAATTAAGATTTGAGAGACGAAAGTTTTATGAATGAGAATTGTAGCAAGAAATGAATGGATAAAGCATTGATAAAAACTTATTAAATTATATATCATAATTTCACTGTCTTATCATTCGTTGGATAAATAAAAATGTTTTTTAATGTTTAAATTTAAACAAAATAAAATTCTAACTAAATTTATTTCAATTCTAATTAACTTTATTTTAATTCCAACAATTTAATTAAATGTTTTAATTTTATTTCAGTAATTTAACCACAATTTGATTGAATAATACAATTAAATTTAAATAAATTATTAAGAGAAAAAAATGCTTTATTTAATTAAACAAAACATGAAAAGCAAAAAAAAAAAGGAAATGGAAAAATTATAAGATTGATCGAATATTATTTTTTTTCCTTCTTATAAATATTGCAACCTTTAAGAATCATTAAGTGACAATAACACCGGAAGCATACACCTAATGTATGATCTATATTTCGATGAAGATTTTACATTTAAAAAAAAAAAAAAGAAAGAAAGAAAGAAAGGTGACAAATCATCATAGATCTAAAGGAACCGAAACTTTTTAATGAAAAATACAATAAATATAGGCTTATTTATAAGAAACATAAGTTTTTCAATTGATGAGTAATTTGGGATGATTCAGAATATTTAAAAATGCTTTATTTAAGACATAACAATGACGAGTCATCCTATCTGTTCGGTTCATTCAAAGACATGAATTGAAATCATTAGGAATCATTCTAATTTAAGGAAAAAATTTTTAGTTGACTCAAATTTTAATTAAATTGAATTGGGCTTTTTCATACAAGCGGAAATTTCCGAAACAACAAGCATATCAGAAATATTAAATTGTTAAGATTGATTTGAAAAATAATTTTAATTTTTAAAAAACAAAAAATCAATTCAACAATTAAAAAAAATGACGAGATTTTTCAAATATTTAATTGCAGAAGGCAAATTTTAACGTGCTATCATAGTTATTATTATT